TGGGGTGTTCCATTTAAAAAAGTCGATGTGACCCTGACCTTGCCGACGCCATCCAAGGTCAAACTTATAACTTCAGTAAATAGACCTTCTTTAATCCTACAACTTTTATACCAAACGTTTTTCTCGAAAATGTTTTGTTTTCGAGATATTTCACCGTTCCGGTACTTTTTACTCACTCTGTATGTTATATTTGATGTTTGCTGAGAATTGTAAATGCAAAATAAAATTGTTCAATTTGTGGAAAAATTTATAGAACTGTCACAAATTTTACATACCACATCAAAGGTGTGTGTGTGTATATATATACAGGGTGTACCAAAAAGATGGGTACCCCAAATTAACTTAAAGAGATGACGTTTTTGAGAAAAATGTTAAATACAAAAGGTTTAGGGTTTGGAAATGAGCATTTAGTAGTGAACTTGAACTTGACCTAGGGGTCAAATTTAGAGGTCAAATCAAGGTCAACTTGATTTTTTAAATGGAATCCCCTATTGTTTATTATACTATATTATTTTACTAATTACTATTATACAAACAACTTTTGTCTGAAACATTTTTTGATTTGCCTAATCGAAACGACGTCGTATCGACATCGAAACCGTGATATTGACGTCGATTCGACGTCGTTTCGACATTGATCTACGAGTAATTTTTAACTGGGAGCGAACGACGAATCTAATCTAACAAATAGTGATGTCTTAAAGGTGTAATGTCTTAATGTTAGAAATCGGTATCTACAATTCCTGATTATTTTTCAGCATTTTTGATAAAGACAGCGACAAGCTTTAGCGAGATAGCGACAAGACATAGCGAGACAGCGACAAGCCATAGCGAGACAACGAATAAAATTAAGTAAGAACATATACATAATACTCAGTGTTAAAAATGCCTAAAATTAAAAAACACTATTATCGACGAGCTAAAAAGATGTCAGATGCAGCAATTAATATGATAGAAAGTATTTCTAATTCTGCCTCATTAGAAAGCACATCCTCAATGTCAAATAATAATATTTCATTAAATGAAAGTGCGGATTGTGCACAAGTATCAAAACATTTCTCATTAATGCGGAATATCCCTACACTGAAAAAAATTTCTGGTTGAATATGGACGAATCAGATAATTCCTTTAGGATTTACCAGAATTCCTTTAGGATTTACCAGAATTCCTGTAATCCTACAAAAATTCTGGTAAATCCTAAAGGAATTCTGGTAAATCCTAAAGGAATTATCTGAGTCGTCCATATTCAACCAGAAATTTTTTTCAGTGTAGTAATAATTGTCACTCAAACAATATGGATAATGCTGAACAAATAAATAATAGCAGTAGTGTGATAGTTTGCAAAATGAACCAATTAATCACAGCAATTGTGATACTAACGAATTTATCAACAATAATATTATTGCTCCTGCATTTGATAACCTTGTCAATGATTCTGGTTTTGTACCATGGCTTCAAAAATGGGCTATTAAAAATCGCATATCCCACGTTGCATTAAATGAATTAATTACTACTCTAAAATCCAAATATCCGGAATTGCCTTCAGATAGCCGTAGCTTATTGAAAACTCCCTTTTAGAAAGAAAAATTAATTCGCAAGATGTAAAACCAGGCCAGTATTACCATTTTGGTGTAGCTAACTGTGTCGAGAAACTTGTGTTGCAATATTCTGTACAACACTTGCAATGTGTAAAAGTAAATATTAATATTGATGGTCTGCCATTATTTAAAAGTACAAGTGCTCAAGTATATCCCATTTTATGCAATTTAATAGAAAACTATAATGCAGTGAATATTGTTGGAATATATTACGGGAATGAAAAACCTACAGATGCAAACGTATATTTGAAAGATTTCACGGAAGAAGTAATAACTTTGACTACTCATGGCATAACAATTAATGGTCATGTCTATCCATTTAAAATAAATGCTTTCATTTGCGATATACCTGCTAGATCTTTTATTATATTTATAAAGGGGCATTCTGGTTATTATTCATGCACCAAATGTACAGCGAAAGGCAAATATATTCATGGTCGAGTGTGCTATCCATATTCAAATACGTTTTCTTTAAGAACAAACGAATCTTTTAGACAAAAATTACAACAAAGTCATCATACAGGTACATCTATCTTGGAATCAATTCCCAATATCAATATGGTACAAGATTTTCCATCAGATCCAAATGTATATGCTTTATTTAGGAGTTGTTAAGAAATTGCTTGTCAAATTATGGTGCTTTGGAACACCCCGATCTAAACTATCATTTAATAAAATGTCAACGTTATCAAAATTATTAGAAGATCAAAAAAAGAATACACCATGCGAAATAAACCGGAAGCCACGATCAGATTTGAATGTAAAAGATGGAAAGCAAGTGAATTGAGAACATTTGCGTTATATACAGGACCAGTTGTTCTAAAATCAATTCTTGATTATGATAAATACATTAATTTTTTAACTTTGAACGTAACTATTACCATATTCAGTGATGCCAATTTAGCGGATTTCTCGCTAAATCTAGCGTTTTTCAAATCTCATCTAACTGGTAATTTTTTTAAATGCGGATAGCGGTAATTCTGACTTTATGAAATATTTTTCTAGCTTTTTTTCTGGCGGTTTTTAAAGAAATATAGTTTATATGGTATTTTGAGATTTGAATGGTTTTTCGCTTATGCGGGGTCTACAATGCGAGTCGCTGAGTCGTAGTCGTAAGAATAATCGACTGCAATTGGTCAATTCCGTCAGATACATAAAGCCTATCACACAATGCCAGGCAACAGGCAATAGGAATAGAGAATAGAATTTTTGACGCGTTGGATTCGTCAGAAATTTTCTACCAACCAATCCAACGCGTCAGAAATTCTATTCCCTGTTCCTGTTGCCTGTTGCCTGGCATTGTGTGATAGGCTTAAGAATTGGCCAATGATAGTCGGTTATTTTTACGACTACGACTCTGCGACTCGCATTGTAAACCCCGCATTACCGCGCGACGAGAAGCGACGCTGTGAGAACAAATGAATATCTTAAATGAATAACGCTATCGCGTCTCTTTTGCCGTGCGGCAATCGTTTTCGTGCGTCCTATGTGCAGAAACCGTAACCTATGCCTGTGCAGTCAAGTCTGTATAAAAAAACTGGAAGATACAAGTTCGGTTGACGACACGTTAAACACTCCAAAAAGTGTACAGGAAAATCTCAGCTCTTTTAGCGTTTTCGATTTGCTGACTCGACCCGACTCCGAGTCAGAAAAGTTTGATCAAAAGTAAGATTTTTGCAGAAATTGTGGTTCAAATCTTGCTATTGATCAAAATTTTCTGACACTAGGTCGGGTCGAGTCAGAAAATCGAAAACGCTATTTGTTTACAAAAGCCATTACAGTTCTGTGATTTAATTACGTTTATCCGTGCAGTACTCGTAGAAAATGGGAAAACCAGTGTATTAGCAGAAATTCCGATTAGAATGGAAGTCTAACCCTCAGTTAAAAGATTGGATTCGTGAAGATATGACGAATAAAACTAAAGCTTACTGCAAATATTGCAAGTGCAATATACAATGCAAATTGAGTGATTTGATTTTGCATGCTAAAACAAAAAAACATAAAGTAGCAAGCAGATCGCAGCTAGTGGAATGCAAAATTCCATTCAAACCCTTATCTACCAAGACGCAAGAACAGGAGGCTGCTCTAGCCTTATATATCAGCCAGCATAGTGCAATAGCGCCCGTTGATCATTTAAGTTCTTTGTGTAAAAGTAAATTTGATGATAGCGTGACGTGCACTCAAATGATGTTGCACAGAACCAAATGTACTAACATAATTAAAAATATATTGGCAACCCATTTTGTTGAGGATTTGCGTATTGATATTGGGGATTCAAAGTTTAGTTTATTGCTCGATGAGTCAACGGATATTAGCGTCACAAAACTTCTTGGTAAGTTGCATATATAAATATAGCTAATATATATGTATTCTAAAATCTCTTATTCGCAGGTAGTGTTATCATATATTTTAGCAAAAAACAGCAAAAAATAATTTCAACATTTCTTTCAATGGCAGAATTATGTAAAAAGTGGAAATGCAGAGGACATTGTAAATTGCTTGAAAAATGAGCTGAATAAATTTAAATTAAATATTAAAAATCTAATTGGTATAGGAACGGACAATGCCAGTGTCATGGTTGGCTGTAACAAAAGTGTGTATACTGAACTGAGAAAAGAAGTAAGTACCTCATCTTATTCTTATTCGATGTGTCTGCCATTCCGTGCAATTGGCGACAAATTATGCTTGCAAAGAATGCCTTCCCAGAAATCTAGAGTTTTTAGTTCACGAAACATATAATTGGTTCAGCAAGAGCTCTAGTCGCCAGTCTGCATATAAACAATTATATGAAACAATCAATAATGGCATGGTAATTTGGTCGTATACATATTTAATTCGAAGTTAATAAAATATTCATTTCTACTGTGATTTTTATTTTAGGAACCATTAAAAATAACTAGAGTTTGCGATACTCGTTGGCTATCCATTGAAGTTGCGGTTTCGCGTATATTAGAGCAATGGCTCAAATTAAAGACACATTTTGGTATTGTCAGAAATTCTGAAAAATGCTATACGGCTGAAAACTTATACCAAATATACAATAACAAAATTAATTATGTTTTTCTGCTATTTCTTAAACCGATTCTATTGGAACTGCAAACATTAAATAAGAGTTTTCAGAGCAATACTAGTGATCCAACTAAGCTGTTAAGAGATTTAGTGATAGTTATAAATTCTTTAAAAAACAAAGTTATTAACCCGACACATAATTTTTATATTGTAACGACGGATTTTGATAATTATATCGATAGAACGTGCTACTTAGGTTATAGATTTGAAAATCAAATAACTGAATATAAAAAAGAAAATGTGATAAGTGAAGAGACTGAAAGAAATCTCCGGTTGAGATGTGTAAATTTTGTCGTTGTTCTCATTAAACAACTTAAACAAAGGTAATAATTATTATTATGAAAAAGTAGGCAGTATTTTAAAAAATGTTGAACACAATGGCTACGTTCAGCAAACACCACAATTGAATGAGCGCTCAATAGCTATGGCTTGCGATTGGAGATTTTGAATAGACTAGACAACATAAGCGCGCGCTTTGCGCGCACCATTAGCTCTCTCTAAAAATTCGCATGGTTTGACAGCTGCAAATAACACGACTGAAGCATGTCGCGTATCGCACAAGCGAGACAGCCAA